TAGTTCTTGATGAGTTCGTGGGTCCTCATGGGGACAGAGGTTTCTGCTTCCAAAATGTGGAAGAGTGAGAACTCTATTCCAAGTATCACCAAAAGCCTGAAGCCTTGAGGAACTGCACCATTATTTAAAAGGGAATTTATTTTATTTTATTTTATTTTTGTAAGTACAGCTTTTTATTGACCAGAATCCTGTGATCTTGCTAAACTCAGCATGAGTTTAACAGCAGTTTGGCATCCTCCTTAGGATTTTCTACATTGACAGTTACTTTATCATTTATTTTTATTTTTTTATTATGTTATGTTAATCACCATACATTACATCATTAGTTTTTGATGTAGTGTTCGATGATTCATTGTTCGCATATAACACCCAGTGCTCCATGCAGAACGTGCCCTCTTTAATACCCATCACCGGGCTAACCCATCCCCCCCACCCCCTCCCCTCTTGAACCCTTCGTTTTTTTTTTCGGGTCCATACTCTCTCATGGTTCATCTCCCCCTCCGATTTCCCCCCTTCATTCTTCCCTTCCTGCTTTTTTTTTTTTAAACATGTAATGTATTATTTGTTTCAGAGGTACTGGTCTGTGATTCAACAGTCATATACAATTCACAGCACTCACCATAGCACATACCCTCCCCAATGTCTATTACCCTCCCACCCCCCACCACTCCAGCAACCCTCAGTTTGTTTCCTGAGATTAAGAGTTCCTCATATCAGTGAGATCATATGATACATGTCTTTCTCTGATTGACTTATTTCGCTCAGCAAGAAAGTTTGCCTCTCTCCAAGTCTTTGATGGCGAGGAAAGTACCCGAGACTACAACCCTAAACCCTGTGCCATGCATAGATAAAGGATGAAAATTGATCCTGTGAACCTAAGACAGAAGCCCTAACCTGAGATAATGATGTAAGATTGGTAGACGGCAATTAAAACACGGGCACAGCCAAAGCTGATTTAAAACTTCTCTGTAGAGACTTTCACTAACCGGAGCCCAAGGAACTCTCACTAGAAAAAATACAACCCCTACTGAAGATAAACTTTCAGTTAAATGATCAACTACACAAGGAAAGAAACCACCATGATGAATAGTAAGCAAATGAGCAAGTAGAAGAATTAGCACATCAAGAATTTCAGATAACATAAGAGTAATAAATATGGTTAAAATTATTAGAGATAAAAGAATAATTTGGAATCATAATGAAAGAATCCAATGTTAGGAAAGAATAGGAAACTTCGAAAAATTTGAAAAAGCACATCCAACTCTAAAAATGAAGAAAATAAAGTCATTGAAATGGAAAATTCAATGGACAGATTAAGTAGCAGATTAGGAAAAGCTGAAAAGAAAATGACCTTTTATATATATGTATGTGATGCATCTTGAAAATTTTAAATATAAAAAGATAAAAAATATGAACCAGATTAGGAGACATGGAGGATAGGATAAAGAGGTATTCCCCTAATAGGAGTTAAAGAGTTACAGGACAGAGAAAATGGGAGGGGGAAATATTCAAAGAAATAATGGCTAAGAAATTTTCAGTACTGAAGATGTGACTTTTTATTTTCAAATACAGTGTTAATTACTTAAAGCATAAAATATTCTTCAGTGACAAAAGTTCTGCATGTTTATTTGCTTACACTTTTATAATCTGCATGTAATATACAGAAAAAGTCCTTTATGTGGTAGAGTGGAAATAACTCTGTAAAACCTGATAAACTTAATTATATTCAATTTGACTTTTCTTCCCCAAGAACAGACAACTGCAAAGACACTTGCAGAGAGTTTAATCAGCAAGTTGGAAAATCAGAAATGCAAACATGTTTTACACTATAATGTTCAATTCCCTCAAGATTTTTCACAATGGGCACACAACTTATATACAAAAGTAAATTTTACAATAACTAAATTATGTGGTGAATTTTCAGTAACTGTGCATGCATTCAGTTGACTATCAACAACTATTATTGGAAAAAACTAAGAATTTCCTACAAGAACTGACACAGAGAGTCATTCCCTGGATCTCAAGCCTATCCCTGTCCCTTTGTGTCTACATCATGGACAGAAACTGAGTTGTTAACAAATAAACTATACTTCCTGGTGTTTTCAAAAGTAAAACAAAATTATGAAATCTTCATATTCATATATTTGTTATTTCCTTCATCTTAATGTGCATTAATGTTGGAAATCATGTTGCAAAATGAAACTTTCATAAGAGTTGTTTTTATAATTATTAACAATTTTATATTCCTTAATATTTTCAAAATGCTTTGAAAATATATGGTCATTATTCTGAATCCTAACATTGTGTATGCCGGTGAAACTTTACTCACCTGTAAATGAGAATGATCAGATAGAAGAGTCAAGGGAATTTCCCTAAAGGAACAAAACCAGCGTGTGTAACTTCAGGAAAATCAAGATTGCAACCTTAACCTCTAGGGCAGGATTTCTTAAACCCAACACTATTGATACTGGGGCAGGATCATTTTTGTTGTGAAGAGGGACTGTCTTATGTGTTACAGGATGTTTAGTAGTGTCCCTGAATTCTATCCACTAGATGCCAGTAGCACCTCATCACCAGCTGTGACAACCAAAAATGTATCCAGATATTTCCAAATGTTCAGGCAGGAACTGCCCCATTAGAACCACTGGTCTAGAGAGAAAATTAATGCATAAACAATCAAATAGATGCATATATATTTATACCATTTTACATCCTACATATAAAATTTTCATTTCTCTATGGAGTGAATATGATTGGTCTGTAGCTTTCTTTAAAGTTTCCATTCCCTCTGTTTGATAATCCTGCTGATTCCTAAATAGAGTTCAATATTTCTATGGCACATATTTTTTAGAGAAGGAACTATCTCCACATCATTACATTGCAAATTATTAACAGTTTGTCTTTTTTTAAAAGTAGCAAGTGACCTTTGTCTCAAATTTTGATTTCCAATCATATTAAAATTTTAAGTAGCACTATTTGAGCTAATAAAGTGCTATCTAATCTTTTATACTCACAATTTCTGTGAGGTAGTTAAGTGTTTAGAGTTAAATTCCATCATTAGAGTAGATTAAGGATAAATTCAAGGTCATACAATCTGTCAATGACAAAATGAAAATAGACTACTTATGTGGCTTTTCCCTCCTGTTGGGATTGTTGTAATTCAGAAATAATTAAGAACATTAGATGATTTCATTTACATTATGATATATTAACATTTTACCTCTTTTTGGTTTCACCCAAAGATTCAGAAAAGATAAATGATTTTTCATAATTAATAACAGTACTTTGATTTCTTAAGAATCTGGTCTGGCACTCTTATGTGTTCATAAAGGTAAAATATCAACAGTTCCCAAAGTCACAAAGATATGTTTGGTTAAAAAAGTGGACAAGAATGGAAGTATCATATCTCTCATTAAGAATCCATTGCATAGGGGTGCCTGGGTGGCTCAGTCATTAAGCATTTGCCTTCGACTCAGGTCATGATCCCAGCGTCCTGGGATTGAGCCCCGCATCAGGCTCCCCGCTCTGCAGGAAGCCTGCTTCTCCCTCTCCCACTCCCCCTGCTTGTGGTCCCTCTCTCGCTGTGTCTTTCTCTGTCAAATAAATAAAATCTTAAAAAAAAAAAAAGAATACATTGCACAATCCCTTTGCAGTTAGATAAGGAAAAAAAATATTTATATAACTGGACTTTGATTTCCAAAATTGATTTTTTAAATTTATTTTATTATGTTAGTCACCATAAAATTGAAGCATTCTACACACATGTGCATATACACTTATTAAATAAATAATAGTTCAAATCACACTTGCATAAAACAAATAAGATGGTATCTTCCCACTCATTAAAAAATGTAGAAAGATTTACAGTTTGATGCATGCTTACAAACATATTGATTAAAAAATAACATCTATACACAAATGAAATATATGAACACATCATTAATTTAAATGTTTTATAAATCTTTCTTTAGACGAATGCTACTTCCTATTTTTTTTATCGCTTCATGTTTTCAATTGGCAACCTTTAAAAGTACAGAGCATACTTACCTAAATACCAGGAAATAAGCAAAAAAGTATTTAATTCTAAAATATATTTAATGTACCTAAATGTTTCTCATGTTATTTTAAAACATTGTAAAGCAAACAAACAAACAAAAGAAACACATTTCTAAAGAGTATCTAATGTGGGAACTGTAGAAAAAAATGTTATTGATAAAAGTCTGTGACCAAACTCTTAGCAATTGAGATTGCTACTTGAAGTTTTAAAGCATGGAACAAAGCATATAGTTAGTAATTCAGAATATTAAAAAAAAAAAAAGTAGTGTTTGCCTTTGTAATTTAGCTCTTTAAATGGGTGAATACACTAGAATTCAAGACTTCTAAGCATACGCACTTTAAATTCAATTGACTGCAAATTAGTTGACATTCAAATTAGTATCATTCAACACAATCATGTAATTCCACATAGCTTAACCATTTCAATTATGTAAATGTTCTTGGGTCACGAAATCCACAAGTACCTATGCTGAAAGTACTTTAGTCGGTACCAGGCTCATAGGATTTCCAATTTATAGTCTGGGACTTAGTGAACAAGGATCTGGGTAGCATGATTCACATTGGGTATCTCAAGACATAGAAGCCCAAGGTAACACAGTAGATAGGAAACTAGGAAGGCAAGCAAAGTAAAGTGTACAACAAAACCTGAGTTGATGGGTCAGAAACTAGGATTGCATATAAGAACCAGAGTGTAAGGCAATATAAGCAGCCAATGGCCAGGAGCTCTAGATAATTAGCAAAAAAGGCACAAGAATAGATACATAGCACCAAAAAGACCTTGATCACTGGGGCTCTGTTCTGTCCCAAACAGGATGCTTCTTGATTACCACCTTCCTGAACCAGAATTGGTTCCAAGGTTAATAAGCTCCCTGATGGGGCTGGTATGGATCAATGAGAAGCAAAGATCTAGACAACATAGATCTGTCACCTCATTGTTTCCTAAAAATAGAGTATGTTGTGGAAGGAGAAAAGGTCTTTTCAGTATTACTTCTGATTTTGGCAAACCCCAAAACTTATATGCTAGCATCAAATGCATGGAAAATAATTTTAATAATGGCCAAATTTAAAAATACTCTTTTTGACCATCAAGTATGTGTATATATGTGTATGTTAATCCTTCCACATATATGTGGTCATAACTTTCATAATGACAGCTTCATTAAAATAAAAGAGAAATAGAGGGAAATGCTGATGCTGAAACTCTTAATTCCAGAGCAGCATCAATTAATGAGTATAGTAAGTGAAGAGTCTGCACTTTGCTTTAACAAAATTTTACCCCCAAAAGTTTCCCCCAAAACTTCACTCATTATAGAACCCTCCCCCCCAAAAGAAATCTAAACTTGATCCAATTATCTTAGAAAACATATATAACTGGATCGCTGTTTAAGATCATCTAGTATCACAGATGCTTCACAAATGAGTCCCACTCATCTTGCCACTTTGATCTGGGAAGTTCAATTCAATATGGTTGAAGGCAGGATTATCAGTTCCACTGTCTTCTACTGGGTGAGAATTATAACTTACAGTATGCTCTTTCTAAAAGAAAATGTTAACATAGTGATTAGAAAAAAAAGGAACTATTCAATTCTAAATAATTGTTACTGCTTTTCTTTCTCAAATCAGCTTTGTAGTCTATTGAAGACAAGATATACAACAGAAATAGACCATCAAAGAATAGGGCAAATACCTTCCTTGTCCATCAGAGTTCAAAAGAGTCTGAGGACTAACTGGTATTCTATCCTGGTGATAAAAGCACAGTCTTACTAATTTAAGGAGAAAGAAAGCCAACTTACTTTCTTAAAAATGTCAAAATTGGATAAAAAGTCCTCTTTGGTTAATAGGAATCTGCGGTCTAAGTTTTGTTTTCTTCCTCCTGAAAAACATTTACGTCATTTACAATGTTAAAAAAATATCTGTAACTACCCAGTGATGGCCCATCATACAAGCATTTAACTTGTGCACATTCATCTCTAGGCACTCATAAAACACACAGAGAAAGAGAATCTTTTACATAGTGCTGAAGACTTGGTTCATTTCCCTTCTTTTAGTCTTAGATCCGGCAAGCCCCTCACTATGACAAATGAGTCTACTGTTTAAAGATGAATGAGATGGTTCTTAAATGCAAGGAACCTACCTCAATGGTACTTAACCTAAGAGCCCAATACTCGTAGGGAAACTGATTTAAAAGCATCCTCTGTGATCTACCAATAAAATATCAAGCCATTTGCCTCTGCTTCAGACAGAGGAGTTGCCTTCCCCTAGTTTGATGGCTACGAATGTAGATGTGCATGAAGAAATGCAGGAAATTATGAATTATTGAATAAATTAGTTAAATAAAAATCAATATAATGATTGGTGTTTCAACTCCTCTTCCCTAACATTCTGCTTTATAAAAATTTTTCTTTGTTTTGGTATTTTATTTGTAGATCAAAGACAAAGCTTTTTAAAACTGTGGGTTCTCAAACTACTTTTGTACAAATCATCTAACAGACGTACTTCAAATGCAGATTCTTAGACTCCAACCTGGACCAACCCAGTTAGAAACTCTGGAAAGGGGCCACTGAATCCTGATTTTTAACAAATTTCTAAAGTGATCTTCATGCTCTCTAATATTTGGGAACCACCACTTCAGTACAAATATTAGGCTTTTAATTATGGGAACCTCTGCTGTTCTGGAGACGGGATCAACTTTAAATTAATTCATTCAACATTGTTGAGTGCCTACCATCCACTAGAGACTCTACTAGATGCTGGAGAGACAGAGATGAGTAAAACAATTACTCTACTCATAGCTCATGGTCTACTTAGGGCATTATTTACCATATTTTACTAATGAGGAGACAGACCCACTCACGGTATACAGTACATGGTTAGGTGAAACTGAAATGCCAACCAAGTCTGTATGGCTGGAATTCTTACTGAGTCCTAGTATTCCTATTTATTTCCCAACGAGTGTATTCCTAGTATTCCTATTTATTTCCCAAGGATTTCATGTTTCTAGATTATTTTTTCAAGGTGCTCATTGCTGCTGTGAAGTGGAAATAAGTCATTTATGAAATTAATGAAGTTGAATTGTTTTTTATCACTGGATGCCTGCTCACCTAGGTAAAGCATGACTTTATAAAACAAAAGAAGCAGTCATATATGGTTATCAGAATAAAAGCTTTTAAGGAAAAAAAAAGGAAGTGCTCAACGGGAATGCTCTGATACTCCATTTTCTTAAAGAAAAAGGAATGGGTTGAACAGGGATCTAAGGTCAAATAGTACAAGGAGATGTATTTAGGTGTATTCCTGATCTGAATAATTGGGTTACTGGTAAGAAAACTTTAAAATCTGTCTTAAAATATATCAAAACAAACAAAAGAATAAATTTACTGTGTTGGTAATTTAATTTATGAAGAAAGGCACAGTCCTCTTTGAAAAGAAACAGAATAGTTTAAAACAACTGTTTGAGAAGTAATAAATAGCTACAAACTTTATTATAAAATGTATAATTATGCATTGCAATATATAATAATTATAATTAATATAATTGTTGATATGATTATATTAATATTACTGGTAATTATTAATATAATTTATTAATTATAAATACAAGTATCACAGAATTTGAAAGGCAGTGCTATTCAGGAGCCACAAAACAGGATTGATAGAATTCCTTCAAGTGGCACAGTGCTGTAGCTTTGTAGCATAAAGCAAACAAAGACATCAGACATACTAGGACAAAGTATGGGATTTCTGACTAGTTACTGCACATTTGATGAAGAGGGCAGTGGGGCTACCTTCCCCCGCTCTGGTTGTTATGGATGTACATGGGTGAGGGAATGCAGGAAATCAGGGAGCCCAGCACTTCTCACTAACTCTACATTACTACCCTGCTTCGAGCCACCATGATCGCTCACCTGGATTACTGCAATAGCCTCCTACCTGCCCTCCTTCCCTTATAGACTATTCTCAAAACTGGATCAGAGTGCTCCTTTGAGAGTTATTGGAAAAGAAATTGGAAAAGTATCCCATGTAGTCACCTAAAAGACACAGTGATGAAAAATAGGAGAGAAAAGAGAAGAAAATTAGAATAACTATCTGAGACTCAAACATTTGACTAACAAGAGTTTCCAGAGAGAGAAAACAGAAAATCACAGGAAATTACAAAAGAAATAATATAGGAAAATGTCCTTGAACTGAAGCGTCTTCGGGCAAAGCACTCATTGTGAAATGGGTCACGTGCAAAGGGCCAACAGGTAGCATGGCACTGGCATTCTAAATAACAACATAATGAGTTAGGAGAAAATTAAGACATCCTCTCAGAAACAAGAAAGGTATTTTTTTTAGGATTCTCTAATCAAACAAATGATCAATCAAGTATAAGGGGGAATTAAAGGCATTTTTTCCCAGAGACACCAAATCTTCAAAATCTCTTGTCTACCCTTTCTCAAGAACATGCTAAAGGATGCGATCCATTCAGTTAAGGGGATAAACAAGAATTATAAATAATGGAATACAGGCAACAGGGAATCCACATAGGAGGGACACCAAGGGAAGTCACAGAATGAAGACAAAATGAAGTCCCAGAATAACAGCTCTATAGCAATCCCAGAGAGCAGTGTATATGATGTGTATTATCAGTCTGTTTCTTTAAATAATGTTTTTAAAGTTTATGGACATGTGAAAAAAGCCTCACACTATGTTCAAATGTAAGGACTGTAATTATCATTCCTTACGTGTGTATTCTTCTTTACAGTTTACAAAAAGCATAGGACAATGAAAAGATCATGGCACAGGATTGTTGTAATAATACATGTAAAATCCTAGCATTGTAGTAGCTACATGTGATTTTGTCAAGCACTTTATTTTTATCTTACAGCAACCTGTGAGATAGGCAAGTCAATCATCACTATTCTCATTTTACACTTAAGTTAGCTAAGTCTCAGAGTAGCCATATGGACTTCCTTAAGTCTATACAGCTAGTAAATGGCAGAACAAAGGTTCAAATAGAATCTTCTGCTTTCAAGTCCAGGCACTCAAACTTCCCATGAGGAAAATGGAACAAGTAATTAAACTAGTTGTTAACAGGACTATAGAAAAATAACATAAATAGCTATAAAATAGATACAGAAAAAAACTAATATAGAGGTAAATACAACAATACTAATGTTTAGATAGTTACCTGTTGGTAAACTGATTAGCATTCCCATGAATACCGTTACCAAAGTTCCAAGAGTGCTGAAGTATAAATATGATAAAGAATACCAGTTATCCATCAGTGGAGTCCTAAAAGAGAACAAAAGCATAACTGTAAGATTTCATGCAATGCTACTAGCAACTAGAGCAGTCTCGAAAATCTTCATGCACGGCAAAGTCAAAACAAAATATTTAACAATGTTTTTAATGTCATAATCTACTGTTCCAACTTGATCTTGTTGGATCAAGAATTAAAAGCCTGACTTAACCTTGACCATACACTATAATATTAAATATCCATGTGTATTCATTCAACTCTGCTTTATGTCCCAGGCCCTGTTCTTGTCATTGGAAAGTCTACCATAAAAAAAGGTTGATAAGGCTCCTGCCCTCATAAAGTTTGCATTCTAATGGAGAGAGAAATACGATAAATAATTAAACTAATAAATGTAATAATTTCCACTGGTGGAAGAGCTATAAGGAAAATAAAACAAGGTAACATGAAACAGAGTGGAAAGAAGGAACTACACTCTAATGTGTGGTCAGAGAAGGCATTTGTGAAGAAGTGACATTTGAACTGAGATCTGAATAACAAAAAGTTCTTGAGGAAAGCATCCTAGAAAGAGGTAAACACCAGCTGACTAAACCATTATGAGCAACATAAGAGTAATACAAGATGAGAGGAAGCCAGAGGTCTTTTTTTTTGTTAGATTTGTATGAAGTTTGGATTTTACTCTGGGCAATGGCACTTATGGCAGTATTTCAAATGGAAGAGTGACATGACCTGATCTGTTTCAAAATGATTGTTCTAGAATCCCAATTTCAGCTTTAATAGAGTAGCTTGATTTAGAACACCCATCTGGCTAAGAAAAATGTAAAAAAAGTGGAGGGGGGGCACCTGGGTGGCTCAGTCAGTTAAGCGGCTGCCTTCGCTCAGGTCATGATTCCAGGGTCCTGGGATCAAGCCCCGCATCGGGCTCCCTGCTTGGTGGGAAGCCTGCTTCTCCCTCTCCCATTCCCTCTGCTTGTGTTCCCTCTCTCGCTATGTCTCTATTTGTCAAATAAATAAATAAAATCTTTTTTAAAAAGTGAAGGAATGGGGCAGGCAGACTTTTTTTTTTTTAAGACACCAGAGAGTCACAACAATTAGGAATTGAGGGGCCAAGATCCCAGAAAGAAGGGAAACACATTGAAGTGAGCTATTGAAATTAAGATCATGTGGTATTACCGGGGGAAAAACAGACAAAATAGAACAGAATAGAGAATCAAGATACAGACGCATGAGAAAATAATATCTGGTTTACGTCAAATTTGACACTGCCTTGCAATGGGGCAAAGGAAATGTCTTTTCAAAAAGTGGTGTTTAGTTAATTGAATATCCATATGGGAAAAAATGAGTCTTGATTACAGCACCTACAGAAATCAATTCCAAAGTAGATTACATTTCATTAATGGAAATAGTTAACAATAAAGCTTTTAAATGAAAAATTAGAGGAATCTCTTTATGACCTCCGGATAAGCAAAGATTTCTTAATTGGGACACACAAAGGACTAAAAATATAGGAAAAGAATGAATATTTATTCTTTAGTAGGATGTTCTTTAACCTCTATGTATTTGTGGTCTTCCCAAATTTTTCCTATGGTTGACTTTAAGTTTCATAGCATTGTGATCAGAAAATATGCATGGCATGATCTCAGTCTTTTTGTACTTATTGAGGCCTGATTTGTGACCTAGTATGTGATCTATTCTGGAGAATGTCCCATGTGCACTCAAAAAGAATGTGTATTCTGCTGCTTTAGGATGAAATGTTCTCAATGTATCTGTTAAGTCCATCTGGTCCAGTGTGTCATTCAAAGCCATTGTTTCTTTGTTGATTTTCTGCTTAGATGATCTGTCCATTGGTGTAAGTGGTGTGTTAAAGTCCCCTCCTATTGTTGTATTATTATCAATGAGTTCCTTTAATTTGTTATTAGCTGTTTTATATATTTGGGTGCTCCTGAGTTGAGGGCATAAATATTTACAATTGTTAGATTTCTTGCTAGATAGACCATTTTATTATGATTTAGTGCCCTTCTTTATTTCTTGTTACATCCTTGGTTTAATTCTCAAATGACATAATATTCTATGTAGAAAACCTGAAAGACTCCACCAAAAAACTGCTGGTATTAATACACAAATTCAGTAAAGTCACAGGATACAAAATCAATGTACAGAAATCTGTTGCATTTCTATTCACCAATAATGAAGCAGCAGAAAGAGAAATCAAGGAATTGATCCCATTTAAATTGCACCCAAAAACATAAGATACCTAGGAATAAACCTAACCAAAGAGGTAAAAGATCTGTACTCTGAAAACTATAGAACACTTATGAAAGAAATTGAAGATGACACAAAGAAATGGAAAAACATTCCATGCTCATGGATTGGAAGAACAAATATTCTTAAAATGTCTATACTTCCCAAAGTAACCTGTACACTTAATGCAATTCCTATCAAAATATCACCAGTATTTTTTTACAGAGCTAGAACAAACAATCCTAAAATTTGCATGGAATCACAAAAGACCCCAAATAGCCAAAGCAATCTTGAAAAAGCAAAGCAAAGCTGCAGGTATCACAGTTCTGGACTTCAAGTTATATTACAAAGCTGTAGTGACTAAGACAATATGGTACTGGCATAAAAACAGACATATAGGTCAATGGAAGAGAATAGAAAACCCAAAAATGGACCCACAACTATAGGGTCAACCAATCTTTGACAAAGCAGGAAAGAATATCCAATGGAAAAAAAGAGTCTCTTCAACAAATTGTGTTGGGAAAACCAGATAGCAACTTACAAAAGAATGAAAGTGGACCACTTTCTTATACCACACACAAAAATAAATTCAAAATGGATGAAAGACATAAATGTGAGACAGGAAGCCATCAAAATCCTAGGGGAGAACACAGGAGCAACCTCTTTGACGTTGGCCATAGCAAATTCTTACTAGATATATCTCCAGAGGCAAGGGAAACAAAAGCAAAAATGAACTATTGGGACTTCATCAAGATAAAAAGCTTCTGCACAGTGAAGGAAACAATCAACAAAACTAAAAGGCAACCTTTGGAATGGGAGAAGATATTTGTAAACGACATATCTAATAAAAGGTTGGTATCCAAAATCTACACAGAATTTATCAAACTCAACACCCAAAAACCAAATAATCCAGTCAAGAAATGGGCAGAAGACATGAACAGACGTTTCTCCAAAGAAGACATACAAATAGCTAACAGACACGAAAAGATGCTCAACATCACTCATCATCAGGGGAATACAAATCAAAACTACAATGAGATATCACCTCACACCTGTCAGAATGGCTAAAATAACCACTCAGGAAAAGACAGATGTTGGAGAGGTTGTGGAGAAAGGGGAACCCTCCTACACTGTTGGTGGGAATGCAAACCGTTGTAGCCACTCTGGAAAACAGAATGGAGTTTCCTCAAAAAGTTAAAAATAGAGCTACACTGTGATCCAGCAATAGCACTAGTAGGTATTTACCCAAAGAATACAAAAATACTGAATTGAAGAGATACATGCACCCGGATGTTTATAGCAGCACTATCAACCAAATAACCAAATTATGGAAAGAGCTAAAAAGTCAATCAACTGCTGAATGGATAAAGATGAATGGATAAAGACAATCGAATGTTACTCAGCCATAAAAAAGAATGAAATCTTGTCATTTGCAACAATGTAGATGGAGCTAGAGTATATTATGTTAAGCAAAATAAGTCAGCCAGAGAAAGACAAATACCATATGATTTCACTCATATGTGGAATTTAAGAAACAAAACAGATGAACATAGGGGGGAAAAAGAGAGAAGCAGACCATAAAACAGACCCTTAACTATACAAAACAAACTGAGGGTTGCTGGAGGGGAGATGGGAGGAGGGATGGGTTTAATGGGTGATGGGCATTAAGGAGGGCACTTGTGATGAGCAATGGGTGTTATATGTAAGTGATGAATCAATAAATTCTACTGCTGAAACTAATACTACACTATGTGTTAACTAACTGGAATTTAAATAAAAACTTGAAAGAAAAAAAAAAAGACTGATGAGTTGAACTTAATTAAAATGAAGAAATTCTGACCACCAAAAAGTATCATTAAGAGAGTAAAAAGGCAACCCACAAAGCAGGAGAAAAATATTTCAAAATATATTTTGTATCTAGACTATATCAAAAAGTCCTAAATAAATAAGAAAAAAACTGAGAATCCATTTAAAACTGGATTAAAGATTTCAATAGCGGTGCCTAGGTGGCTCAGTCAGTTAAGCGTCTGCCTTTGGCTCAGGTCATGATCCCAGGGTGCTGGGATCGAGTCCCACCTCGGGCTCCCTGCTCCACGGGGAGCCTGTTTCTCCCTCTGCCTCTCTCTGTGTGTCTCTCATGAATAAATAAATAAAATCTTAAAAAAAAAAAAAAGATTTCAACAGCCAAGTCGCAAAAGTAAATATCCAAATGGAAATGGCCCAAAAAACATATAATAAAAAGGTATTGAATGTAATTAATCATAAAGGAAATGCAAATTAAAATTAGGACGAGCGCCTGGGTGGCTCAGTTGTTAAGCGTCTGCCTTTGGCTCAGGTCATGATCCCAGGGTCCTGGGATCGAGTCCCGCATCGGGCTCCCTGCTCCGCGGGAAGTCTGCTTCTCCCTCTCCCCCTGCTTCTGTTTCCTCTCTGGTTGTGTCTCTCTCTGTCAAATAAATAAATAAAATCTTAAAAAAAATTTTTTAAAAATAAAATTAGGACGAGCTATCAGTATATACCCATCAAGCATTGGGAACTTAAAGAATAAAAACTAAATCTAGGTAATGGAAACATGGTATCTAGGCAACCAGAGGGTATTTTGTTTCATCTTCAGCTGTGTAGTTTACTTCCTTTGTACTCTAGGGACACTGACCTATGTATGATTTCCTAAGATACCATGTGGCTTCAGACCTTCATGCCTTTGCATATACTGTTTCTCCACTGTGCAATGTGCACTTCTTTCTGTCCCTTCTGCCCAACCCTGTTCACCTGATTAATTCCAGCTCACATAATCCTCCCCTAAGGTTTCCTTGGCTCCATCAGGAAGAGTTAGTCTCCTCATCCCTCTGGCTCTCTTGATCGCCTATGAATATCACCTACCACAGAGTATTGCTTAAGTGTTTATTTTCTTGTCCAACTTCCCTTGTCATTTTGTGACTTTCCAGAACCTCTCCTTCTAGCCAACCTCTGTATCCTTCAAGTAGTACTACCTTTCTAAAGTCTTGATGCTAATCACTCCAACTTTGTTTATATTCATTCTTTTAACAGATATTTATCAAGTATTTATTACTATTTACCATGTGCTAGTTTTATACTTACTGTGCTTACTGAATTAATTGTTTTGTGTATATTAGCAAACTCTCTCCATATAGACTATAAATTCCCGGAAGGCAGGAACCACAGTGAATAAGAGGTGAAGACTTTCTTGGGATACTACATAAATGGCCAGCCCAGAGCTGAGTATATAGTTCATTCTTAGAAATTCTTGTTTATTACCTGTTATTTTACAAATAAGCTAACATATAAAAGTAATTATTATGGTACCAGGCACATACTAAACTTCAGCTAATTTATTTGCTTCAGAATCAAAATAACTGTTTTCCTTCAGACTCTTAAATAGTTATTGTACAATCAGGACAAATGCTAAGCAAAATTGTGAAACAAGAAATATATCCTGAACATCCTCCCATGTACCTTTTATTATTTTTTTTCTCCCTTTCTGACTCAAACAACTACCCTCCCCCCACAAACATTAGTGTGTTCATGCTTGTCCAAACTGCTTCTGGCATTTCCCTGCCCCTCACCCCATGGCACCTCACCTAGTCAAACCTCCCCCAAATATGCCTCAGGCTCTGGAACTACTTTTCTTTCTACTCATACAGCATTTACCAGCATTGAACTTCCATTGGCAAGCATTCTCATAGTTGGGTTTTGTTTGGAACATGAATCACTAATAATAAGTCACATTCCTTCTCTCAGGAGTGCGTCCAGTTTAAAAGGCAGCCATCATGTCTTGACCCAAAGGGAATGAGTCTTTAATGGTTTCATTCTAGGAAAGCTGGAAATGGGGGCAATAATTTGGGGGCAGCAACCTCATCTTTGTATTCCTTGAATATCTCCAAGGGGTTTATGCTTTAAGGCTGGACATTTAATTGTCCACTAAAGAAAGTCTTCCCCTATATCCACTATATTATAGAACACTCACCTACCCATAGATCTACATCATTTCATTAAATCAGATGAAATAAGGATCCAGAGCCCAAAATATACTGCCTACAGAAAACTCTAGCAAGTGAGTTGATCACAGCTGCAACCCATTGCCAGTGCTCTAAAGATCAGGAATTTTTAAATCTAAACAAATAGGAATGATCTAACATATTTAGATGATTGTAGCTTTTAGACTTTAAAGGCTATACTTCAAAGCCTATATAAGCAACGTTTCTTTTATAATTTTGCTTTTCATTTTAAAACATTTTTAGTTCACAAAGATGATTTTTCATTCAACTAGAGCTGATATTTGGTAGCATTTACCCATAATAGAATTTTTTTGTTATTATTCAAGTCTTCTCCAGATCTGTGAGGCAGAGGTTTCTACCAAAATTAAGAACATATAGGAATTTTTGTTGTTTCCAAACAAAATACTGTAGCCAGAAGCCACAAGGGCTCTACCCGTTTCAGAATTACAGAAAATCACAGCACTGCAGGCAAGACAAAAAGCAACTGGGGTTCTCTACCTGTCATATCCATTTCTTTAAAATATGACATCGGGCGCCTGGGTGGCTCAGTTGGTTGCGCGACTGCCTTCGGCTCAGGTCATGATCCTGGAGTCCCGGGATCGAGTCCCACATCGGGCTCCCTGCTCAGCGGGGAGTCTGCTTCTCCCTCTGGCCCTCCCTCCTCTCATGTGCTCTCTCTCTCTCTCTCTCATTCTCACTCTCTCAAAATAAATAAAAATAAATCTTTAAAAAAAAATAAAAAAAAATAAAAAAAATAAAATATGACATCATAAAGCTTAATTCAATACCTTCCCACATTGTGTACTGGAAAAGCACTAGTAGAAAATGGCATTTCTGTGGTTGTCACCCAATTTGTCACATTGTATGTGCTGTTACAGCCATAGGTTTCAAGGCTTAGTGGCATAGTTCTTTCAGGCAGTGGAGGATAAAGTTGAGCTCCAATTCCGACCCACAAAGAAACAGCAAATCCAGCCATCAGACCAACAAGTGCTCCCTGTAAAACAAGAATGCTTTTAAAAGAAAAATAATAGAGTTTTCTTTGAGATAGAAATTAACATCAGAAGATTAAGCTCAGCATGGTCCAAGCCAGATTTACCATCTTCTCTCCTAAGAGCATTCTCTCTCCCAAGATCCTTGCTTCTTGTTAAGGGTGGCATGGGCCACTGGTCCCTCAGCCCAGAGCCCTGGGGACTCGGTAACTCCATTCCCTTTTCATATCCCTATCTCACCCTGCTCATTTTTCTTTTTGTCAATCTCATAATTCCATCCCTTCTACTCTGTTTCCATGGCTAGCACTCTGTTCTGGCCTCCTCCTCTCTTCACACCCAAAGAATTACAACAATCATATGGTTGACCCCAGGCCAACTGCCCCCTCTATTTTTGCTTAATCTGTGAACAAATGGTATGCCAAATGAACAACAGACTATGAAGGGGAAAGCAGACACAGAGTTCATTTCCATACTTAACAACATGCATGATTGTAATTGTGCTTCAGGGTAATTAGGGGGGAAACAGGAAGCAGTGTTCACAAATGACTGCAATGGTGCATACAACCACACCAAGTATTTCTAAAGACAAGAAGAGATGTCCCCTCTGAAGACATCTGCTTTCTCAATCTTTGGAAAACTTGGGTTCCCCATTTCTGCTTTTCACTAGCAGTCCAGGTGTTCTGCCAGACCTTGAATGATTTAAGCCCTAAGTTCCAAACTAGTGGGCCAAAAGCAAACCTCAAGCTGGTAGGCCTCTTCTTCTGTGGTGAAAATTTCCCCCTTATTTTAAGAATACTGACCAGACAAAGCAGCTTTTGCCTTGGGCTCACCATAGAGAAGACAGGGAAGAATATTTGAAGTAAGGGGAAAAACATAAGCAAAATCACAGGGCAGGAAAAAAGAATGGTGTGTTGATGGGATAAGATGAAGGCTGATGACAAGATCAGATGATTTGTGTTGGGGACAAACACTCTGAGCTCTTTCATTAAGCTGTGAACCTTGAAAGCAGAATTAGATATTTTTGGTTTTGGTACCCCAGCACTTACTACAGTGCTGGACATATAGCAGGCATGCACTAAATATTTTTCAATAATATGAGGTTGGAATAGTAGTGTGGCCAGCTGTTGACAGGCCAGACTTGCTTATTCTCAGCATTGTATATGGCTTGATCAAAAATCCACAAAATTATAAAGCCCATGAGGGCAGAAATATTCAGTGTTCTCTATTCCCAGGACAGTGCTTAGTTCATAAATATTCAATGAATGAATAGAGGAAGGGGAGAAGGAGGGAGAAAATGAGGGAGGGTGAAAAGCAAAGGAAGAGAAGGAGAGGAAGGGAGAGAAAGATGGAGGGAGAGAGGAAGGCAGGAAGTCCATTCCAAAGCAAGAGTAGATATTCTGCTAATGAAAAATGTGGGTATTGTAAAAAGAGGTACCTTCTATGACAGGAGTAATAATATCATACTTCTCCTGAGAAAAGGTTATGTGGGACCTAGTCTGCTACAGCTTTTCTGAAGGCAACCCACAGTGGTAGTAAATGTCAAAAACCAAGTCAGTCTTTCTTAATATTTCAGACACTCAACAAACCACTGTGCATTTCATAATGCAAAGAGTCTAATCAAAGCTTCAACATTCCAAGGTAGATACAAACTATTCTTTCATTTTGATTAATTTCTACCAAACTGGCTTTTCATATGATACTTCATTGACAATTATTTTTTTGAGAATAATAATTATTATTATTTTAAATATTTTATTTATTTGACAGAGAGAGAGAGCACAAGCAGGAACACGGCAGGCAGAGGCAGAGGGAGAGGGAGAAGCAGGCTTCCTGCTGAGCAGGGAGCCCAACATGGGGCTCGATCCCAGAACCTTGGGATCATGACCTGAGCCGAAAGCAGATACTTAATCAACTGAGCCACCCAGTCCCCCGAAGAATAATTATTTTTTAAAAAAATTTTATTTGAGTACAGTTGATACACAATGTTACATTAGTTTCAGGATACAACACAGTGATTCAATATCTCTATACGTTATGCTATGCTTACCACAAGTGTAGCTACCATCTGTTAAGAATTATTTTCCTTAAGAATTATCATTAATAATAATGGTAACAGCCCTTATTAGTAGCTGCCTTACCAATCCCTAACGCTTCATGAAGAAAATGGAATTCTAAATGCAAAGTCATGGTTCTGCTTTTATTCAATGTCTGCATGAAAAACCATATATACATTATCAGTTTTTCTTGAACTTCAACTTACAGCAGGACTGACCCAGTGGAGTTTCTCCTGGCTTTCAGAGAAATAATTTCAATTTAATTTATTCCAAACAAAATTTAGTACTTCAAAGCACAGAAACGTCTGTGTAGAAGAGAGATATTACCTCATTCTGGATACTATTCCCAATTATGATCACCCCTTTGGGGCCAGAACCATGATATTGGAACTACAGCTTTAAATATCAGGAATATAAACTCTCTGGTCAAGGTGGTGAAACGCTTATCTTATTGCTTCTCTTTGCTGTACTCTGGCTATTCACAGGTATCCTCAGCTCTTTTTCCCTTAAATCTTTTCACATCTGAGCCTGTTGATCTCCTTTCTTTAAATCCTAGTGATTTTTAGAGGTAGAGTTTAGTGACCTCTGAAGCTAATAATATACTATGTGTCAATTAATTTATTTTATTTTTTTTAAAGATTTTATTTACTTATTTGACAGAGAGAGACAGTGAGAGCAGGAACACAAGCAGGGGGAGTGGGAGAGTGAGAAGCAGGCTTCCTGCTGAGCAGGGAGCCCGATGTGGGACTCAATCCCAGGACCCTGGGATCATGACCTGAGCCAAAGGCAGATGCTTAATGACTGAGCCACCCAAGTGCCCTCAATTAATTTATTTTAAATTAAAAAAAATGTTTCTAGAAATCCTAGTGATTTTCAAGATGGGCAAAAAGATAAATGCACAAAAAATGTTGCTCCTTTAGTTATATTATATACTATTTGTAATATATATTATATATAGTATACAATATAATATATATTGTTTCATAATATATATCTTTTAGTTATGTTATATAGTCTATATTATATAGTCAGTTATATAATTATATTATAATATTATGATTTAGCTATATAATACTTATATATTATTTTGGCAGTTTCCATTTAGTTTCATATATGCAAAGTCCCAGGGCATGGCACTTTATTTTATACCCCAGCAAAGTCAATATGAGTAATTTAAGCCATCAAGTCACTAATGACAGATATTAAAGGAACTATATCTTTCCAAATGAGAAAAAATTATGGAGCTGCTACTATAGTTAGGAAAGTAAGCTTTACACATACTCACTCTTTATACTTACAATTGAGTTGGCAAAGGGAACCAAAATGCCCAAAGCAAACAAGCCCAGAAGTGGTCCACCAACCATGCCAAATATGCTGAGTGCTGCCTAAAAAAAATAAATAAATAAAGTCAGCAACTAGCAATCTCAAATACCAAGTTAAAGAGTTTCAAAGTAATTTCATCAGAATGAGGATTTGAAGTAATCAATCTCTTCCTGAAAATCATGGCAGCCTTGTAATTGGCAAATAGATAATCAGAACTTGAATGCTTCTGCTTCTCAGTCTCAACTATTCATCTGTTCATGGAGAAATGCAAAAGCTGAAAATTCCAAGAGATGTGAGTTCCCAATAAGCCAATGGATAATTTTTAAGAGTGGATAGAACCATAAAAGAAGGATTAGGGGCACCTGGGTGGCTCAGATGGTTGGGCGTCTGCCTTCGGCTCGGGTCGTGATCCCGGGGTCCTGGGATCGAGTCCCGCATCGGGCTCCCTGTTACGCGGGGAGCCTGCTTCTCCCTCTGCCTCTGCCTCTCTCTCTCTCTCTGACTCTCATGAATAAATAAATAACACATTTAAAAAAAAAAGATTTAAAAAAAAAAAAGAAGGATTAGAGGACACATTGGTTTGTCTACAGAGTAAAGGGGCTTGATAACAGAATAACTAAATCAAAGAAAAAATATCAAGTCAAGAAAAATTTTATAGAATATAGATGGCAGTCCTAGGTTGAAAAAAATTAGAAGCCTACCTTGTGGACTAGGGAAAGGACTGTGGATAGAGATGACAAATAACTAGTGTTTGAGGAGGATATGGGTTTAGAATGTAATCCTAGGGAGTCATTTCATAACTTCTCTTGAACCAAAGCCCAATAGGAAGGAAGACAGACTTCACTGCAAAATGTGAAATAAGTCACATGGCCCATGAAGCAGGCTGTGATGGTGTGACCTGTGAGCCAGTTTTGGAGGCACAAAGACTATATCCCAAAAAAGGTCTGTCTCAGGAAATAATACTTTGGTTAGAAATGAAACAAGGAAGAACTGGCTTGGAGTTATGGTGACACTACTAGAACACCTCACTGTATATACTCAGGCCAGAGTTGATATATGAAAAAAAGGGGACTCAATCACATTAATAGTTATAAGCAATAATGCAGACTATGGAGAAAAGCATATTCAGAGGAGTTTTATTGATTTGGCTTAGATGTGCTAGATAAGCTTGGAGCTTCTGGACATCATTCATTCATTCATATAATCAGGATGAGATCAAACTATTTTAACAACTGGTATGCCACAAGCAAACAAACCAGAATGGACCCAAGCCTTAGGTCTAAAGCAGGAGTTTGGAGGACCTGCTTTGCTCAGCATTGACCTTCAACTTTCTGGATCATGGGGAAGTCCAGGGGTCCCAGATAGCCATGACAAAACTGCTTCATTAATTAAGACATGCTTGAAATAAATGAAAAAATAGGTCTTAGAAAAAAATAGGAGGTCTCAGCAAAAATATAGCAGATATAAAGAACCAAATGGAAATTTTTAGAACTGAAAAATACTAACTGAAATAAAAATCTCAGTAGATGGGCTCAACAACAGAATGGAGGAGAAAGAGGAAAGAATTAGTGAACTGGAAGATAGGCCAATAGAAATTACCCAATCTGAACAACAGAGAGAATATTGACTTTAAAAAAATGAAAGTAGTTTCCAGGATCTGTGCAAGTATAACAAAAAATCTAACATTCATGTCATCAGAGTCCTAGAGGAGAAAAGAAAGGATGAGGCTAAAAAGTACTCAAAGAAATAATGTATGAATTTCCCAAATTTTACAAGAAATATAAACCTACAGATTCAAAAGCTGAGCAAACTCCAAATAGGACAAACCCAAAGAAGTGCATGCCAAGACACATTGAAATAAATTTCTGAAAACTAAGAACAAAGAAAAAATTGTAAAAGTAGTCAGAGAAATATGATACCTTGCCTGCATGGGAAAATAATTAGAGTGGCAGCAAAATTTTCATCAGAAATAATGGAGGCCAGAAGAAAGTGGCACATACTTTTCAAGAGCTGGATAAAAAGAACTGCTGACTCAGAATCCTATACCCGGCAAAAATATCTTTAGGAATAAAGGGGAAATCGATACATTCTCAGATGAAGGGAAACGAAGAGAATTTTTTGCCAGCAGACCTATCCTAAAAGAATGGCTAAAGAAAGTTTCTAAACAGAACAGAAATGATAAAAAGAAGGAAACCTGGAACATCAAGAAGGAAGGAAAAATACAATAAGTGAAGATATGGTTAAATATAATAGGCTTTCCTTCTCCTCTTGAGTTTTCTAAGTTATATTTGATTGTTGAAACAAAAATGATAACACTGCTTAATGTAACTCAAAATGTATGTAGAGTAAATATTTGACAACTGTATTAAAAACTGGGTAAACAGACATAAAGGGAGGTAAGCGTTCTATACTGTACTCAAACTGGTGAAATGACAAAACAAGTAGATTATGTTATGTTTATATAATGTAATACCTAAAGCAACAATTGAAAATGCTATTCTAAGAGGCAACCTCAATACAATACAGATAAATAAAAATGGATTCTAAAAAATGTTCATGTATCCTATAGAAAGGTGGGGGGGGAGAAAATAGAAAGAACATAAAACAAAAATGGCAGACTTACACCCTAACATACCCATAATTACAGTAAGGGTAGAAGATGTCTAATACATCAATAAAAAGACAGAAACTGGCAGGGTATATTTAAAAACATGGCCCAATCATATACTGATTGCAAAAAACTCATTTAAAATATAATGATTAGGCAAGTTCAAAGTAGAAGGATGAAAAAAGCTGTATCATGCAACCATTAGTCAAAGGAAAATAGGAGTAACTACATTAATATCAGATAAGTTAGACTTTAGATAAATAAAATTATCAGAGAGAAACATTATATGACAAAAGAATTAGTTCACCAAAACATAGAAATCTTAAATATATATGCACCAAGTGAGAACTTCAAAATACATGAAACAAAAACTAATAGAACTAAAAGGAAAATAGACAAATACACAATTATAGTTGAGAATTCACCACTCCACTCTTACCAATTGATGAAAACAAGTAAACAGAAAATCAGAAGATATAGAAGAACTCAGTGACACCATCAATGAACAAGATCTAATTGATACTTATAGAACACTACACTTAACACCTAAGAATACACATTCTTTTTAAGTGCCCATGGAACATGTACCAAAATGCCATATCCTGGGCTGTAACATAGACCTCAACAGATTTAAAGAATTAAAATCATACAGAGTGTGCTCTTTGACCACATTGGAATGAAACTATAAATCAATAGCAGAAAAATAACAGGAAAATTTCTAAACACTTGGAAGCTAAGTAACATACTTTTAAATAATTCACGGGTCAAAAGGACATCTCAAAGGAAACTTAAAAATACAAAATATGGTAAGTTGTGGGACATAGCTAAATTAATGCTGACAGGGAAATTTTTAGCAATTAGTGCACACACTATAAAAGAGGAAAAGTCTCAAATCAATAATCTAAGGTCTCATGTCAAGAACAGCAAAAGGAACCCAAAGCAAACAGAAGAAAAGAATAAAGATAAGAACAAAAGGCAATAATTGTAAATAGAAAAACAATACAGAATATCAGTGAAATGAGAAGATAGTTTTTCAAAAATATCAATGAAGTTGACAAACCTCAAGCAAGACTGAAAGAAAAAAAGATAAAATTACCAATATTAGGAATAAAACAGGCAATAATACTACAGGACCCTGCAGACACCAAATGTATAATAAGGGAATACTATCAACAACTCCACACACACAAATTTTACAACTTAGATGAAATGGACCAATTTCTTGAAAATACAAACTATCATAATTCACTCAATATGAAATAATTTGAATAGCCCTATAACTTATGGAAATTTAATTTTTAATTTTAAAACTTCCAAAAAAGGAATACCCAGGCCCAGATGGTTTCACTAGAGTATACTACCAAACATTTAAATCATTAACACCAATTTTATACAAGCTCTTTAAGAAAATAGAGGATAATTCTTCCCACTTTATTTCATGAAGCTAGAATGACTGTGATACCAAAACCAGACAAAGCTATTACAAAAAAAGAACTACAGATCAATATTTCTCATGATGTAAAAATCCTTAACAAAATATTAACAAATAAAATTCAGAAATATATAAAAATAACTACACACCACAACCAAGTGAAGTTTATTCCAAGAATTCAAGGCTGGTTAAGCATTTGAAAATCAATAATGTAACTCATCATGTCAACGAACTAAAGAAGACTATCATATTACCATATCAATCAATGAAGGAAAAACACTTGACAAAACTCAACATTCATCCATAATAAAAACTCTCAGAAAGATAGAAAATAGGGAAATAGGGAATTTCCTCAACTTTGTAAAGGGCATCTACTAAAATCTTACGTCTAACAATTATATCTAAGAGTGAAAAACTAAATGCTTTCCTCATCCAGACTGGGGAATAAGGAAAGGGTATCTATTCTTACTACTCCTATTCAACATGATGTGGAAGTTGAAGCCAGTGCAATAAAGAAATAAAAGCTATACATACAGATTGGAAAGGAAGAAATAAAACTGTCCCTATTTGAAGATGACATGATTGTGTAGAAAATCCCAAGAAGTAATAAGTAAATTCAGCAAGGTCTCAGGATACAACACAAATATACAAAAATCAATTGTATTTCTACATACTAACAAACACATGGACACCAACATTAAAAGTACAATATCATTTATAATCACTTAAAAAATTAGATACTGGGATAAGGAGGGAGATGGTGGCAGGGTGGGAGGAATCTAGGCTCCCCTTGTCCCATGAATACAACTAGATAACTATCAAGTCATCCTACATACCCCAGAAATTGACTTGAAGACTGGCAGAACAAACTCCACAACTAAAGGTAGAGAAGAGGCCACATGGCAGAAAGTAGGAAGTGTGGAGACATAGTTTGGGAGAGAAACAGATTGTGGCCACTGTGGTAGGGAGAGAGCTGTGGTCCCAGGCAAGGGTAAGAGACAGACTAGCACACAGGGGAGTGC